TGTCACTCTTGATCTGGAACTTACAGTAATACAAATGCAATAATCGTGAAGGTGAAGTTGGCCACTTAGGAACTCTACTCCTAATTTTCAAATGCAAATAACATATTCTGGTTAGATTGACCCTGACTGACCTCTTTCCCTTGAGTGGAAGTGGCTTCTTGCCTCTTTGTCTTGGCATCTTGGCTTTTCTTGGTGGTGTCTGGTTTGGGTGAACTGATGACTTGCAGCAGTTTGCCATTCTTGTACATTTTTCTCCTGGTCTTCGCCTTGGCCTCCTCCGGCTTGGATGTTTGCTTTGCTACTTCTCCGGGGATTTTTACTTTCTGTGCAGGAACCAGAGGATCCTGAGGGTCTGTAAAAGGGTTGAATTAAGCGTCTGCACCAAATTCCTTCTTTCAGTCATACCAAGAAGTGATTTGTTAATTTTCAGATGTGTAAGCAAAAAGAAAAATTACAATCCAACATCTTAAAGTTGGATTGTAGTGATCATTAATACATGGTCAGCATGGACATACAAATACTTCTTTTGGTAGCACTTTGGTGTTAGTGTGAGTGAAATGACTTGACAGCAGAAATTAACAATACAGTTCAAGCTCTTCTATATGTTAAAGTATTTTGAGAGCTCTAAGATTATGCCACAGTGAATGTACAGTACTGTACCTTACAAGAATATTCTACTCAATGACATCACATTTAATGTCAGTATAAACTTTTTTATTTAAAACTGTAAAGATCAAATAGAACATTGTTGTACAGTAAATAAAAAACTGTGAAGGACATACACTAAGTGAATGCATAATTATTCAGCTTCCTAAGATAACGCTTGGTAGAAGCTATTATTGCTGTCAGTCTTTTTGTATAGGTCTCTATCAGCTTTTCACAGTTGTTCCAGTTCTGACAAGTGTGTTGATGATTGTTGATGGACTATAGTCTTTAAATATTACTGTAGCTTTTCTTTTGGATTCAATGAATTCAGGACATTGACTGATCCATTCAAGGACATTCTCTTTCTTTTTATCAAACCATCCCAGTGTGGCTTTGACCTTGTGCTTCATGTCATTGTTTAACTTAAATGGAAATGTTCCATCCAGTTTTAGATTCCTGAGTGAATCATGCAGGTTTTTCTCTAGGATTCAGTTGTGCTCTGCTCAATCATCACTCAGTTCCAGATGCTTCTCACCACTCCCTGCTGATCAGAAGGATCCTAATAACATGCTCCACCATGCTTGACAGGATAGTGGGCAGTGTGCTACAACAGTCTTGCACCAGAGACAAAGGTTTATGTTTAGTCTGACCATCATACCTTCTGCCACATGTCTGCAGTATATCCTATATGAGATTTAAGATGACTACTATTTCAGATTTTCAAGCTTTCAGAATTGCTGTGACAAAAGAGGTTAAATTCTTGTACATCTGAGAAACTTCTAATTTTTTAAAATCCAATTTCTGGCCTACTATCAGCATTTTTAGTATTATCAGTTTAGAGTAGACTGTGAAGATGATCAATATTATGTTCTATACAAGAATGAGGCATTACTTTCTCTGAACCATTTCTAAAACTCTGTTGCTTCTTCACATCTGAAGCATCTGAAGCAGCCAAAGTTGTGTTTCTTTTCTTTATCTTTTTGCATGGAATGCACCTTTATCATTCACTGCCTTAAAGTATTTTCTATTTTTCCGGAGCAGAAAGCGTGGGGGAGAGAACAATATTATTCACTCTTTTCTCTATTATTCACTATAAACATCAGTTCCTAGATTAAATATTTCTATATATAATATAGATCATTATATATGTAATAGATCATTAATATATTTACATTATTGAACACTAACACCAAATGGTTAAAAGTCAGCTCATGTAACAAGCCCAGCCTTGCAGCTGTATATATTTCCTAGTAAAATAAGGACATACTGGACTGCCACATTATAAAAGAGAAGACAGTTATGTATAGTAAAAGGCCACTGAAAACACAAACAACACAGAGAATGCATTTTCATTTTGATCTTTCCCACCATGACATAATGCTTGAGCAGTGAGGCTTTCTACAGAGTTGTGTCGATCAGCAGATGTCGTAGGCAGCCCTACCTGTAGTTCTGCAGGGGATGCTGTTACAGGTGACTCTCCCTCTTTCACAGAAGCAGATGGAGCAGGGGACGGGACTCCACACTGCCCCCTCAAACATGGCCATTCCATTGACCAGGCAGTGGCTGGTGCCTATAAGACCAAGAAAGATATAACAAGTCTTTGCAGATCCCACCACTGGCACAGCAGTTACTGTACAGTAGGTAGTTAAAGGTATTTAATGTAAACAGGAACTTTTGAAGATACAGTAAGTTGTTATGCTTTGAACACCTGAGCAATATTAAAAATAAGAATGATGCTCAGGTACCTGGCACTGCCAATTGGGTTTATAGAATTTGAGCAATTTTAATGGGTCTCATTGTTTAGGGACAGATTCCAGAAATATTGTTTTAACAATATGGTTATTCTTGACTGCATACAATTGACAGAATTGTTTGTGTACAGAAGTTTCTCATCTGTTGTATTTTTTCTTAATGTCCACTAATTAAAACACTTTTACTGTAATGAATTAATGGTTATTTAATTAATGGTTTTAGGTAAATGTTTACATACTCATATGTCTATGAGATTAGTCAATAATATACAATATGCATTGTGGCTAGTATTTTATAATTTAACCTAATGTAAGTTTCATATTATTAGGAAAATTCATAACTGCATAAGAATAAAATATCACAATTGCGTTACCTATTTTGGAATCTAAAAGCAAGTAAAACAGTCATCTGAGGTAAATGCATTACCAACAAAAATGGGATCCATTTAAGCTACAAAGTAGAATCCATGAAATATACAGTATTTCACAGTGAACAGCCTCTCACTGCATTAAACTAAGTGCCAATTATGCCCCAAATAAATAATGCAAAGATTAAATACACCACACAACAAAAAAACAATTTTATCTCCTCTCAAACGTCATAAATTGTCTTCCTACAAATGATATACACTCACCAGAAAAGATCTTCAGGTGTTGCCCAGGCATGATGGTTGATGGTGCTGTAGCCATGGCAACCCTTGCTGGATTGCCCGAGATCCTTTGTGAGTTCTGGGCCTGCTGTTTTCCCTCAGCCCAGCTCTTGTCAAGAAACATGACAACGCAAACCCAAATGCCAAACAGAACTGTCCCCATCTTTTACTCTGTATGCGTGTCTCTTCTCTGTGTCCTAAACAAGCAGACTAAGGACTGGAATGGTTCTTAAATGCTCTCTAGAAGGTTTTTTCCACACAGGAGATAAAGAGAGAAGGTATGAGGGGGAGTGAGAGGGAGGAACGAAGAATATGGAGGAGGGAAAAAAAGAAAAACACTTTAAACAAAGCCCCTCTTTCATTCCTTTAAAAAAGTACCTACCTCTTCCCACCCTCTTAAATAAACAAGCAGGAAAGTTAGGTTTCAGTGGAGGATGATGTCATAAAAATAATCATGTAAAAAATGATTAGCCCAGAAAGTGGACAAATTTACCCTCAACATCCCACCTAAAAATGTGTGTCACATCTTTTAATAAGATTGGTGGAAGTCAATCTTTTCTGATAAAAGAAACCAAACAGACATTTGGAGACATCCCAGCCTGGCCACACGCCACTGGAAATGTATATTTTGAAAAGCAGGAGAGGGCAGTTTTTGAGGCCTAGGGGAATGAAAAGGTGCTTTGTGCCCCTGACACCAAAGGCCTAGCCATTGCTGTATGGTCTGGTCAGCGCAGCTCAAACTATAAAATAAGCAGCCAAGCATACCTGAAAGCACTCAAAGTTTTCTTTGAAATGTAAATCCTGTTTCAACAGTTTCACATTTTTACCTTCCAAAAAGTGGGTTTTTAATTTTTTGTCCTGTGCTTTGTGCAGTCAAAGTAAGACACAGTGATTCACTCTATTTGGATGAGCTGTGTGTACAAATCAATATAATTCTGCTTGTCATGCTGTGGGTCTCATTGCGAACTGGTATAGTGAGCGACTTGCAGAAAAGGATGGCAGCCACCTGAGAAAAGCATACCAAAAGACAGTATTGTTTCTCATTACTCATAACACAATTACTTTTTAATTGTTTATAAGAAAATACCTTTTTTGATTTTCTTGTGGTTACTGATCTGGTGTTTAAAGCAAGGGTTCAGATTCTAGTGTATTCTGTCATGATACTACTGTACATCATGTGTGCTGTAGTTGCCTGTGGTGTCCTTCGGGCTGTTAATCTGCATTACTTAGTATTGCTCTCTGCAGGTTCTTCAACTGCAAATGTGATTGTAATGTTCCATAATACATAATAAAATTGTTATAAATATTATCATGCTTAATAATAAAGCCATCTCTGAAATACATAATTATAAAAAAACAGTTCAATCCTTTTTAGCCTTTTGTAAAGACACACTGACACATGTTCTCTGATGTCATTTGCTAAAGTTCTGCTTTGAAAGATCTTTTGAGCCACAATTTACAGTATTTTGAAATAACACACTACCGAGAAGTAAAAAGACATGTACCGTACAGAGCCCTCCCAAATAAAAGCATAAAAATGCCTATTTTTTCACAACACTTCCCATTCCCATAATGTAGGCATGTTTGGTGCCCATTTCAGAATCCCTAGAAAGCACAAAGGCAGAAAATAAGATATAATAAAATAAGATTCACATTCTCAGTGCAATTCAAAACGCCATACAAGTTTGTTTTGTTTTTTGCAGTAATTTAACAGGTTTTTGATTAATCGACCTATCTAATATTTTTTTCTTTCTCAAATAATTTGGTTTTTTGTATGTATTTGACATAATAACAAAAAGCAGTGCATTTGGTGCATGAATGGGTACATTATAGTTAGGACTAATTTAACTTTGTAAAAAGTGCATTTTTTGTATTTTTCTTTTTTCTGGTGTGAGTGAAGGGATTAATCGGTTACAAAAAGCTGGCTTTAAGCCCTTACATTCACGTCTTCAACAGTGTTTGAGAGAAAAGGGGAGTCAGAGAACCTGTGTTATAACTGAGCTCTGAGGTTCATTTCTTTGTATGAATGGCAGTAGAATACAGAGCACAAAAAGGTATCTCCAAAATGGAAACAGTCTGAAACAAGACAATAAAGAAATAAACAATACCCTCATCTCAATACCTCTCTTCACCTGGTGGATCTGTTTTTAAGACTGTGTGAAAAACTAAAACTTTGTGTGAAACACTACGCTCCCAGCACTACAGTAACCTCTGAGTCATTTAAAGAGATCAAACAGCAATAACTATTTTAAAAACTAGCAAAACATAATGATTTGCTTTTTTATGTACAGCAATTGTTCTCTCCACTCAGAAGTGACTAGAAACCTAAACGTGAACCTAAACAAATGAGAGACACACAATTCTCACCATACAATCCTTTTACGATATTATGAATGTTCATATACAGTAGTATGGATACGTAACAAAATGTTGAATAAGTTGCGTCAGCATGCATAGGCTACAAAAGAACAGGTTTTGAATTAATTATTTATTCCATGCTGAAAGGAAAAGAAAGTGACACGTTTCCCCTATGAAGAAGTTACATTGTGTCTATTTTCTTTTTCTTTCAGTGTCGACTAAAACTTTACGTATTCCCATAGAATAAGTTTTCTGATAAGATATTACTAGAAGTAATCATAATATGTTGTCCACACAACATTGATCAATAAGACTATATCGTAAAACTACAAGTTCTCTGACCAACTGAAACTGGTTGATGAAGAAAACTGGCCTTATCTAGTTCAAGGGACAACAAAATGAAGGACCAGGACTAGGACAATACTAACAGAATTTGTCATCTTAAATTGGTCTATCAAATGAGAAAGGCTAGGTGGACTTTAGGACATCATTCAACCGGGTGCTGTGTGTTATTCCGCAGATAGAACTTAGTTATACCAGGCCGGACCTTGTAGGAATGTATTAATAGCTAGTTTGCCACTAGATGACGCCAAAACGCCTCTCTCATTTGCTTTTTCTGTTAACAGTTAATAAAATTAAACAAACTGGTAACTGGTAACTGCTGAACAGGTAAAAATGATTGATTTCCTGTTCTAGGCTATTGATCACTGTAGATAAAAGATACAATACTATCTGGTGAACAACAAAGTCATGAACAATGACTGTTTTTTACACCTTTTTTGCTCAATTCTATCATTCATTCAAAATTGTGATATTGATATTGATAATTGTGATTGGTTTTTTTTTTCATTCTGTGTTTGGAGGTTCTTTGAGGCTTGCACCTTTTGAACAAAATCACAATTTGGGATACAAAACCATAAGTAAGAATGCAAAATAATCACAAACAGTAAGAAGAACAGGCTAAGTAAAGCTAAAACTTGACTATATTCTGAGTGATGCCTTCGCTGTGTCAAGCTGAATTTTCAGTGACCCCAACATAGCAGCCTCAACAATGTGGTTAACAGTTTATTCTAAGCACAGAAAAAAAAATCTCGGAATAAAAATGGTGTTCAGTTCAGTTTAAGGGCGGAATTTAATTTGAACTTGTTGCCATTTATGCCCTTATGTTCTGTTTGCAGAACCTAAGGTCGGCCTTATTTGTTCCTTCTTGTTTTGTCGGAAGTGGTATTGCACGGTCACATAAATAAACGTGGGGAGGGCAGCTCAACTGTGTCATGTCTGACTTGACTGTTTGTTGATCTTGTGAGGCAATGGCAGCTAAACAGGAAATGAAAACTGAACGCCCTCCATGTGGCCTACTGAACACATGACCAGGAAAGTGGAGGAGAGTGCACTGTACTGATTGTCAGACCTGGCCACAGGAAGTCGTGAGTGTGCATTCCTGCTGGTGCTTCACTTGACCATGGAAATGACGCTGTTGCAAAATAAACATCCTAACAGAAATAAATATACACACAGTAACATCGGCTCTGCATAAGGATGTCATTCAGTTGATTTTCAAAAAATGTCCCCTTATTCCTTATATACTGCATTTGTCTCACAGGTAATGTCTCAAAAGATAATGTAAAAAAATACTTATTAAAAATTTAATAAGTAGTCTGTTTACTTTGTAAATACATGTATTTAATAATTACTTTCAACATTCTAACATGGTAAGGATATATTACAGATACTGAATTTGATATAAGGATAACAAGCAATATACTTGAATAAAGGAATAAAGAAATAGAAAAACCACATTCTATGCAAGAGATAAAACATTGAAAGACAACACAGTAGAGCAAAAATGTACAGATTCCGACAACATGCTATTTTTTAGGATTTTTGAGAAGTGTTTAGGGCTTATTCAGTGTAAAAGGGTTCATTTGGCATTTGAGCAAAGTCAACCCCTTGAACTCTGGAGGGCATAGAGGTCTCTGCTGTCTGAGGAGAGGTGCAGAGTACTGTATCTCTGGAGCCAGAGAAGATCTCGGATGACTATGATTACAGTACATACCAGAGTGGACAGGGCTGCAGTAATTAATAATATAACATCAAGCTTCAATTTTAAAGCAAGGAAGCACAGCTAAAGACTGGCAAGGCCCTTGTTGACGTTACACGGCGAATCATTCTAGAATACACAAATTATCATTCTAAACATAAAATATAATGCATATAATACAATATTTAATGACTGGTTGCGATGAAAATGCATTTTTAATCGTTACAAAAAATTCCAATCTACCCAATCAATGCCTTACAGGCCACATGAGAGCCTAGTCCCTTCACATTATAGGTGGCTTCTCACCGGCCATTTCTCTCTAAGGAATTTCAGTCACTGTTAGCCTCGACTCCATCATATTGCTCCTTGTCTCTCTAAGGAATTTCAGTCACTGTTAGCCTCGACTCCTTCATATTGCTCCTATCACCTATTCCAGGTTTCCCGGTGTAGCCTGGTCTATTTATGTGACTGTGCAATACCGTTTCTGTCAAATTAAGAATGAACAAATGAGGCTGACCCTAAGCTCTGCAGACAGACCATAAGGGCATGAACAGCAACACGCTCATTTAAGCATATGCATGAATATTATTTTTTAACCCAGTTTGACTGTAAATTACATTTCTAATAAACTCATTTTTCCTTCTTTTACTCTTAGTAAAAAGGATCTTTTTAGTATCTTCTTACCTAGTATCTTAATAAGGTAAGTTAATGATGATCAGGAAATGATTATGTTTTATATCTTACTCACAGAGAAGTTGTCTGTGGAGAATTTTTAGTTGGCTTTGCCCTTTTCTGCTTTTAAATTGAAACCTAAAAACATCGCCCTCTAGTTGTGGAACTGAATATTCTGAATTTAGGACCAGTTTTTGAACAAGGGCAAATAGAAGGTTTATTACAAATGTACACTAGGCTGTAGTAAAATGTTAATTTCATTTTTATTATTTGTCATTTGAAGACTAAGAAAGTGGTTAAGACCATCACAGTCACCCTCATTTGTTTATGTGGAGTCAGAAAGTAAATAAATGCTAAAGAGAATAATGCAGGTGGATGCTGCACATTGGTGGTGGTGGAGGGGAGTCCCCATTACCTGTAAAGCGCTTTGAGTGGAGTTTCCAGAAAGTGTCAGCAATTATTATTATTATTATTAATAATAAGAAAAACAAGAATAACTTTTCTATATAACATTCTTCAATATTATGAAAACAATGTTTAATAAAAGTGAAAATTCTAAAGAAGTATTGAATTACCGTATACATATATATTTTTTTCTAATATTTTTCTTTAAATGTTAAATCTGAAAAGTTACTACAACTACACAACTACAGAGTATTAAATGCAAGCAGTTCATATAACAGTTCAAATAACAGACGTAAACAGATTGCAAGCTTTTGTTTGCCTCTGATTTTCTTTTCACAAACAATTTCTATTTTCTATTTTCTTTTTCACATGGGGACTGGAACACTTTTAGTATTTACCCTTCCAGTCTGGAAATGCCAATAGTTTTAAGACTCCAAATACAGTGCATCTCCAAATTACAGTATAAACTACATGAGAAGGAAAGGGATTGGCAGACATGCTCCTCCCATACAGAGACGTTCATCTTTTGACATACTGTCTTGTGTATATAAGTGGTTTATAGGAGAGTTAGCACCAACCAGACAAGTGGGTCTTCCTAAAATTACTGCAGGCATGTTGCTGTTTCACCAAAAACAAACTCAGGCTGACTAGTGCTCACTTGACCTTACACTCTGTGCCAGTTGTGTGGTGCCACAGGGGAATTCCAGTTATGACAGCTAGTGATGTGCCCATGCTCAAACCAGTGACCGTTGAGTCATAAGTGTCCATTTCTCTTCATTATCTCTTCAACCATCTTCATGGTTAAGAGCCAATCCTAGGACTCTTTAATGGTTTCCTTGACTAGTAAAAGTTAACTCAATCTATCCAATATATTTCTACCTCAGGTTTAAGTCTTAACCTCTCAGAACAGGAGGCCCTGTTTTACTCAAGGACTGGATCTATGGAACAATGGGACATTAAAAAATTGGTATTGAGTGGGATGGTGTAATGCCAGGTTTGCTGAGGGCTTTCAATTCGTGTACTTCTGTGCTCGCCTTCACACAAGCAGTGGGGTAACAGGATAGCTGTCCATTCACCAACACAGAAATTCAGATGAATTGGAAACAATGTAGCCCATGTCAATGATTGAGACAGGTAATTGGACTCATGATTTTTTTATTGAAAATATACAGTGATGTGATTGTACTTCATATATATGTTACAAATGTGTAGTTTACAGGTTATTACATTTCAGGCCTTGTTATCCGTTGAGTTATATCCAATAATCTAGAATTTGGGCAATATCCGATACCATATACTTTAAAAAATCAAATAGATCTAAACATGTTATGAGTACCACTGTTAGTATGGTATTACTTAGACAGGATACCACTGTTTATAGCAGTGAGCTGGGATTAAAACAACTAACATTATTTTACATAAATTCAATAGGTAAATCAATGGGTGGGTTTGCATTTAAACTGTAGTTTGACACAGTTACCAAGAGATAAAAAAATGTCATAGACATATACCTGACATTTTAAGCAATGGTCTTAATGAAAGGCTTAAGTTCACAGAATGTTAAGTGGACAGAGAACAGTGGTGTGCGACCATATGCTAATGGGTTGCATTGCTGCTCAGTGGATGGTGTCACCAAGGAAATTCAGCTTCGGGATAGGAAAGGGCAGGGGCTGTTTTTTCTTGTACTGGCAAAATGTTGAGGATGATCTTGAGACTGAAGAGACAGAATATTTATTCTACTCCCTTCATGAACTCCAGGAATTCTGGGGATAACCAAATAAAAATGTTACATATACTGTATGCGTACTGTATGCGCAAGAAAAAAATCAAATTGTGCTTTGTACTTTACTTTGGGGAAGAGCAACAATTCTCTTTGGAGAAATTATGTCTTCATAAACAATAAATCCTGTGTAATTCCTGTCATGTCAAATTAAGACATAACAGTTTTGTCTTCATACTGTACATACAGGTGGTGGGTTTAAGTTCCTGCTGTAGACCATGAGGGAGGTAATGTTACTCCAGTGCACCCAGCTGTGTTTGCTCCACAAACTATGGGAATCTCTCCTGTGATAGACTCCAGTCCAGAGGAAAGTACTGTGCTCTGGAGTCCATTAATAACAATAAAACCAAGATGGTATGGACTCTACCTTTGAAACTACACATGGCAGTCTGGAACTGTAACATACTTCAGGTTCCTTGTTTCCTGTTGTCTTTAAACTCTTTAAACCCTGTGCGTGTGAACTGAGACGGTCAGGCTCACCATCATAGTCAATCTTCCCATCGTTGTTTTTGTCTCCGTCCCTCATCAGCTCCTCAATGTCATCCTCTGTGATGGCCTCCCCAGTGGACTCCAGCATGAGCTTCAGCTCGTCCAAGTCGATGTACCCGTCTCCATTTCTACAGAAGGCAAACAAAGTGTCATGGGGTCCCAGCTGTGTGTCCTGCCAAGGAAGAAGCCATGGAGGAATTCTTAATGGCTTTTGAACACTGTTAATCTTACAGATAAGTGAGTCTGAATGGCATCATCTACTGACCTGTGTAATGGGGGATAATTCTAACCATCCTGCAGAAATGTTCAAAATTAAAGATTTAATAGAATAGAAGCAAAAAAAAAGAACATTTCTGATATTGTTTCTCAGTAATACTGTAGGTTCTTAAATAATAACAAAATAAACATTTCAGAACCATTTGGAATTATTAGGTAATATCACAAAGACTGACTATCCAAAGTGAAAATAACAGCACAGTACAGGATATTATGTTGGATCCTCTAAGGCAATACCTTAACAAAGGTGTCTGGCCATTATGCTTACTTCCATATCTTACATATACAGTAAAAACAGAAATGTACAATGTCAAAGGTTAATGCGCAAACATAATCTAGCAAATAGGAATCTGAAGGAGAAGTGATTTTTATTACTGATTTTGAGTCTAGTACTGACATGATTTCAGTAGCAGCTCTTGACTGCACATGAGAAGAGAACCAGAGAAATAGAGTTGGCACTTAAAATTCAGCATAACGTTTAGGTAGTGTTTTCAGAGAGGCGAAACTAGAACACCATGAAGATGTACAGCATGTGCCAATCTATTTATCTGAGTGCCTTACTTGTCAAACATTCGGAAAATCTCTCCGAGCTCCTCTTCTGATTTTCCTTTGCTCTCTTCTTTCATGCACCTCACCATCATGACCAAGAACTCATCAAAGTCCACTGTCCCGCTCCCTGTCAGGGCATACACTCATTTACCAAGGCATGGAAGAACACAGCAGAGCATGGGCGGAGATCAGCACCAGGTGCTCTTCCGAATAATACAGTGACGTTCACAGTTCCTGTGGTTCTTCAGTTCCAAATGCTACTTCTTATTGTTTAAAGAATATAAATGCCTGTTGTGTTTTTGCAAGGTGGGTCCTGAAGTTTTCTTTTCTTCTTCTAGCCCTGAGAAAGTTGTCGAAGGAGACTGACCAAATATCAATGAAAAATTAGATACATCGCATGATCTGAAGCTCAAGGTGGAATAGAAAAGAGTATTACACGACTCAAAGCATACAAATGTTATGTTAAGTTATGTTATGGCTTTAAAACATTTGTCAATAAATGTTGAAGGTCTCTCTTTAGTAACATGCATTGAAAAGGGTTGTACAAGGATGTTAGCTGAATTTAACAGAGATTCTGTGGCATATTTCTGCATCCGCCATCCAGAAGCTGACCTACCATCCTCATCTACCTCATCAATCATCTCTTGCAGCTCCTCTGGGGTGGGGTTCTGGCCCAGCATTCTCATGACCTTCCCCAGCTCCTTGGTGCTGATACAGCCATCCTCAGCATCCTGGACGAAGATGTCAAAGGCAGCCCTGAACTCTACAGCACCAAGGGGAGAGTGACAAGAGGGAAAACATCGTCATGTTCTTCCTCAGTATTCACGAACACTACAAGCATAAGGATCAAAATATGAAATTATGAACTTGGTCCGGATGCAAAGCAGAAGTAAAGCATCCATTTCTGTCTGTCTGTGTCATCCCATGCCTTCTAAGGCAGAGGGGAGTGATGGACCATAGTCTTTCCACTCATGGTTGATAATGAGCTGGACAGACTAGTCACCTTTTCCATGGAGTCATTGAGGGGCAGTTTAAACCAGTCAACCAACCTAACCTGCTTATCTTTGGGATTTGGGCAGAAATCAAAGCCTCTGCTGAAACCCCATACACACATGGTGAAAGCAAAGAAGTTGAATGGGTTGGAGCTGGACCAGGAACCTTAGAACTGGGAGGCACCTACACTAACCACCACACCATCTGTGGTCATCATTTTACAAGGCTGGAAAATGTGTTTGTTGTGGTATTACCACATTCAGCACTGCCACCCATAAACGATGTCAGTACAGCCTATCGATGTGGAGATACTGGAGAAGGAAAGTGTGATTATGTGCTTTTCCAAGACATTCATTTTAGAAAATTGTTATAATGAAATAAAGTACATTTATGCATCTTTTGATGGGACCAAAGAGCTCTAAGTAGAACAAAGTCATGAAAAGTGAAGGGGGTTGTATTTACAGCACTCTATTGAGGAAATAATCTGTCTGATATATTTGTTATATCTGATCTGATCTACACTGTACAGTATATGTCTGATAAATATATGTTAATATCACGTCAGTGATTTTTGATTTGGTTTATCATTAATGCCGAGACTATTTTTAACATTTTGAAGATAACTTCATGTAATATGAGTGTTTCATTTGCTTGTTTTCTCTGCTTCAAATAACAAAGCAGGTAGTGATAATTCAGGAAATTATTTTCTCAACACAATTGTGTACTCACCATTTTTCTGCTCTTCAGTTAGGTTTTCAACCTAGGGTGACAAATAGCAAAGCAGCAATTGAGAATGTGTCATGGGAAATCTGAGAGAATCTCAAGCTATCCAATAACTTTCCAGGACAGTGAGAGATAATCTGCAAATTGATGTGTAAAGTTGAAAATTGTCCTGATTCCCAGTTGTATGATGAACATCAGATTTTAGAATAATTAAAAATTGTTTACTCAAAAACATTGGTACTGTACCTGCTCTATTAGCACATCATATGTAATGCATTTGCATACTCTAAAAATGCAAATGCATTAAAATGTAGATTTATGGTTTGTGAAAATCATTTAAACTACAGTATGGCAAATGGAAAATCATATAAATAACAAATATATACATTTATGTTAATTAGAATCATTTGCTTTAATGTGTTAAGCATTTTAGTGGACAGAAATGAGCCAAGACAGCAAGGGTTTAATAGAAGACCAATGAGTGAGATGTTTCTAATTTGAAATTAAAATAATCATTTATTTTCAATGTGATTAACTATTTTTTTTCATTAATTTTAATCTAAGTGACTTGTTGTAGCAGAAGCAGTTTATAGAGTATTACATTTTTACAGAATGTACATGGTGCAAGAGTAATGGAAGGTTACTTTTATGATAATATCCTTCGTTATTAATACACACACAAGACAGGTTTGTACTTGGGAGGGCTTTACCTGTCTTGTGAATGAATGACTCGTCATAGCGGTTCATCAATAACTTTGTGATTAGAAAAACTTGTATTTTTAATGATTATGTTTTGCTGACTCTGGCAGGTAAGATAAAATACTGTTATGCATTATTTAAGTCCAACTCCAGCCTTTTATATTTCTCTATCTATATCTACACTAACATAAAAAGTCTGCAGACATTGCAAACAAAAATATGTTCCCTAGTTTACAATGACATTAAAACCAAGTTCTGATAATTGTGAAGCTCAGCTTCAGCTTCAGCTTCAGTATATTTTGGATTCTTGTAGGAATAACGGAACCTGTCATAGATTTATAATAGGTTAGATTTTAGCCCGTTGTTCTCATCTAGGAGGTTGTCTTTACACTATTGCGTTTTCAAGTCATTTAATCTCCAACCTTTGAGGGGATTTTTTCTTGCCAAGGTTCTAATCATGCATCTTAATGCCTTAAGGATATTCTTAGCTACTAATATTTTTCTGGAGTAATTTGCAGCTGACAGAAGCTGATGCAGCTCCCAAATCAAATTACAACACCAAATCAGACAGATATGAAGTCCTGCTGGACATAGAGGATGGCATTGAGCACTGGCACATGAACCCAGCATACAGTATACTGCAGGTACAAAGGAAAGCAACGTCACCTGCTATAGGGTTATTCTTTGACATGTAAAGGGAAACCTACAGTATGCTTTCTCAGAAGTCCTTCAAAATCCATCAATTGTCCAGGGAGACAGTCTTTAGCACTTCAAAGTTCAAATCCAACCAGCATGAAAAATGTGACACCACATGATGCATGCAACTTAAAGTGAATGCAAGTATGACAAAGCTGCATATAGCTATCATACCAGCGTGTACTTGTCCTGCTGTTCTTGGCAGTGGGCTGGGAGCTCAAAGCCATTTGTCACCACTGTCAGCTGCCACAGCTGTCTCCACCAGCCCTTACCCAGGCAGGCTATTGTCAGGTCATTACCTTACCCCCTCATTATTTCAGCAACGCTTCATGTTACAGACTTTATGTCTTAATCAGGTTACAAACATCTACCTGATAAGAATAGCAATGAGAACTTTCAGTCTACTTACACAAATACAAAATGGCTGTACGCTTCCACAGACAAGAACTGTGATTGGAAAGTTTTAATATTTTTGCTCTATTCTATAGCATCAATTTTTTCAGACCGCAAAACCCCCCATTTTAGAAAATCTGCACATATTTCATTATTATGCATTTGATTGATGGCTTGTGCTTATTAAGATAACCTTCATTCTAGAAACCCCTGTTAAGATTAGGGTAACAGGTCATGAAGAGAGGTTACATTTTTGTCCACCATTGTGAAGTTATATCGCTTTGGCTTTGTCAAAGCTCTCCTTTGCAGTTTGATTCTTAAGTGGTAATAGCTATATAATCCAGGAAGCTATCATGTCCTAGTTTAAGATCACCATTTTACATTTTTTCGAGGTTCCTACCTTATTCCCACATTGAACAATAAGGTCCTGTCCTTTTCATGGGCTGCTTGCTTTTTAAATTTAGAATCTACCCCATTATCTTCCTTGTATGGCAGTGCCAAGCCTTTGTAGATTCCTGCCAGTAGACGAAGTTGAGGCCTGTGGATCTCCATTTCCCTGTGTGCATGCACCTGATCCTTTTCAAGCACTGGAATGGATTCTCCCCGAAGAAAGCCTCCAAGAGACACCTCAGCCGAACCCTCCAGTTGAGACTGTAGATTCCCTTACAAGGATCCTACAGTCTTGCATCACTTTCTTGAGGAATAGTCAGTTATTCACACAGCCGTCACCCGAACCAACAATCTCTGGACATCTGCTGAACGGGCACATTTTCACTGGTTGCATCACATTGGCACTGGCCCATTGTTACATGCCAACCATGTTGCTTTCTGGGCTAACCCACAGAGTGGGCACCGATTTATATTATCCTGCAGGCTGCCTTAATTGAAGGGTGCAAATTATTTGGGTTATGACCCAAGCGAATGGAGGGAGCGAATGGATACAAGAAACACGATCGGCGTAAACCAGGATTTTTTTTTTCATTAAACATTCCAGGGCAAAATTAACTTTATTCCACCTAGTGGTAGTCCTTGCAAAGGAAAAATGTACAGACTATAAAGAAATGTTGCCGTCTGTAATAATGTAGGGTCAGTAACAGTCTGAAAGCCACACATCTACCTGTACTCCCCCGGGAGGGCAGGGTTTGTTTGAAGGAACAATTTTGATGGTCCATCATAAACAGCTACGTCAGCCTAGAGGCATATCTGAATGGACACATAAAGCAGGGATCAGGGGGTTATCCAGTCCTCTATGTTACCAAGTTTAGTGTGAACCACTGAGTGGGGCACTGTTCCATTCATAGTAGGCAACATGGAATTGTCCAATCAGGAACAGGGTGGAATAGAGGACTAGTTCTGACAACAAACTCCCTTTTTTGAAAGGACCCTCCTTTTCTCATTCATAACGTAGCAAAGGCAGAACAAATTATACAAATAACACATATAAACTAAATCAAATCCAGTGATGCTAGATATTGCATTTTAGATCCCTGATATTATAGTACAGGAGAATTGCAAAGGATGTATTTTAATATAAAACAGTCTAGCTAGCCAAATCCAGAATCAATAACACATGTTATGGAGCATACAAACATTGCAAATGTTTTGTTTTTCTCAAAAGTGCAGAATCAAAAGTTGCTTCTTTGTAGATGAATAAACAAATGTGGTTTTTCTCACTACTTTTCAAGTGTTGTGTGGATATTGATAGTTCTACAATTGCACTACATGTATACACTGTATTATTTAAAATCATAAAAGATACTTCAATTTGTGTGTCCCTGCCTACTTTCTGACATGTTGTCTGACTTGAACAAAAATAATCTCATTCAACAGTGACTTGTTTCCAGCGCAGTGTGATCTGATGAGCTTATGATCTGTGGACTCACTTACAACAGCTTTTGCAATCACATCCCAGGAAAAGACTGTGCCTGGTAAAGTACAATGGGTGGGTGAAAAGAACTGGGGCTCAAACCAACAAGCTGAACCACTACACACAACATTTTGTAGCATCTCATCTTTTGTAGAATCACACAAAAACCATCAACTTTCACCTAAACTTTCACCTCGCCTATTTTTGCAATGCCTAATCCTCCTACAGCTTCTGAGCGCTGTTATGGTGGAAATACAGTTTCTTTGAACAGATGCGCCAGGCCCTCCAGTGCAGCCCGACACTAATACAACCCGTTCAAACCTTGACTGATGTGAAATGAACCCCCTCAATGCAGAGCCGTAGACTTACCGCTGCCTTGTATACATCATCCATGGCTGCAGCCTCACACAGACAGAGTCACCCTCAGCAAAGGCAGAGAACAAAGGCAAGGGGCAGCACCTGGTGTGGGCTTTTGAGGCACAGGGTGTATAAATTCTGGCCCTGCGTCACTATGTTCTCATTAGAGACAGCAGCTCTATAAATAGGGAGAGAATACAACTAGCCAGACAAAGGGCTAAGGGTGGGGGTTGACGACATAATCCAGTGGGAATGTCAGGATGTTATAAATGGAGACAGTTTTGCCTGTTTCACAACCCTGGTTACCTACATTCTACATTGAACTAGCTTAAGCTAACTCTCTAAAACATTCTACATTCAATCTTAATATTAAATTCTGAAGGCACAGCTGCCTATTGAAGGCGTAGTATGTACTGTAACACTACAATGCCTTCCTTGCTGTCATTGGCTTTTTTGCTGTGATTGACAATTTGACTCAAGGCATTGTGGAACTATATGACCTCAAAGGCTTGCTGCAATAGGAGCACTGAAGTAGGATAAATGGAGCATCAGAGGTGAAATTCCCCTGTTTTCCTGATACCTGTTAACTTCCTTAGTTTGAAATAAAAGTTTTGACGTAAAAGTGAAACCTCATTAGTCCCTTGCCTGTTCTGGAGAGGAATGTGGCCACTCCTGCCCTGCACAGCACTGAAGATTGGCGTGACTAGGTGGCTATTCTGAGACTAAGCTCTGGCAGCCCTGTGTGCATTTAAAGATGGAACAGTCATGGCCATGTGTGAGGTCTCCAGCTGGAGACAAGGGCTCCTCAGAATGATAGTTAGGGAGTATAGGTAAAGGCTGATCTTGGAGTTCTTGTGCCTTTGGAAACAGCTGATGGTTCAATCTACTGTCTAAGACAGTGCCGTCTAAGTCTGGCATAGCCAGACTTCTTTCAGCACTGGGGACAACATACAGAAAATATGGCCGTGAAAAAAAACAGAGTATCAGAGTTTTTCATTATTAAGTCAGTGAACGTGGTTTGGAAATTCTAACATTATCATGATAGTAATTTATTATGAAATGTCTTATTAAAATAATATTATAGGTTAAATGATGGCAAGGACAAAAATATTGATTACATTGATCTATTTCACTTAAAACAAATGTGTAAATAGCTATTGGGGAAAAAAAACAGTGTGTTGGCAAAATCCAAGCAGCCTTTCTTTTTGTGCTAATGAGGCAGATAAGCAGGAAAATGCTTATATCAGCTCTATAAATCCTTGGATGAATACCTTTTGTAATTTTTCCAGAAATTGTTTAAGCTTTATGGTTTTTGTTTCTCTGAGGGGTGGGGGGTGTACAATTATTGGTTATACAGGTTATAAATTTTCAGTCTCATCACAAATTCTTTTGTTTTGATATGCCTTATATAGCTACTGTATTTTAATCACATTTATTACAGGAGGGACTGCTACACTTCGGCTATGTTTTGAGATGCTGAGTAAGATGACTGTTATATAATAATAATAATAATAATAAGCTTTATTTTATATAGAGCCTTTAAAGGTGGCTTCTCAAAGTGCTTTACAGGATGACAAGAACAATAAATAAGAAGAATACACAAGAGAAAACACAATTACTATATATAGAGGAGAATGTGGATGGTGGTACTAAGAAAAGCAGAGGGGTGAAGAATGGAACCAGTTAAGTAAAGGCTTTTCTGAAGAAGAGGGTTTTGAGTCTGGATTTGAAGGAGTTCAGAGAAGGTGACTCTCTGATATCCTTGGGGAGAGAGTTCCAGAGCTTGGGGGCATTAAAGTCTACACAGAATTTGACCGGAAGCCAGTGCAAGGACTCCAGGATAGGAGTAATGTGAACACTTGCACTAGAACTGGTCAGGATTCTGGCTGCTGAAATTTGGACATACTGCAGTTTGTTCAAAGTAGATTTAGATACCCCAGCGAGTAAAGCATTTCAGTAGTTAATTCGAGAGAACACAAATGTGTTGATACTGTTCAATCGCTTATAGCAGTATAATACCCTAGGATAACACAATCTGAATGGTATCATTTTTATCAGACAAAACATAAAAACAACAAAGGCTAGATTTGTGGATGAAGCAGTCTGTCCCTAAAACTAGCTTTGTATCTACTGTAAATGGAAATAAGTACTTGATATGATGACAGAACATCTAAGAAATTATAAGCAAAAGGCCAACTTTGTCAAAATGGTATTATTAAAATACAGTTAAAAAGTTTATAGTTAAAAAGTTTCGTTTAAAACACAGTCTGGAAAAGAGCAGATTCAGGTTCTTTGGGGGGGTGGAAGGGGGGGTCTTACTTTAAAATGTAACCAGTGAACAGACTGGAAGGTTTTTTCAGTTGGACTAATTAAACCAGTTACAGGGTGAAGGAGGTAGTAAGGAGAAGAAAGTGGATTGAAAAGCTGAAAATACAGTGGCCCTTCAGAATCAGGGCAGTGGTCCTACAGGAGTAAAATGAAAACAGATGCAGAATGACATTCCATTTCTATTGTCTGAACAAACACTGTGGTACGACTCCCCCCCATCCCCCATCCACTAACCTGTAGGTGCATAACACAGATAACAGCATCATCTTGACCTTAATTTGTCTGTTTCTCGTTTGATTTTTCTGTCGTATCTTGTTTGGAACAAACATTTGAAGTATTTGTTTTAAAAGACATCAGAAAAAAAGCAAAAGAAAAACAACCATGAGGTCACCTTCAGCTGAAAGGTGAACCTGCTCAAATGTAATAGAATTGAACAGGGGCTGTACAGTAGGGTGTGTGGCTACTTAGTTTCTCCAAGTCTAAGTAGGAGCGGTTGTGGCTCTCTAAAGGGAATGTCAGTGTGAAAACGAACACTGCTGCTATTCTTATCCGCTGTGTCCTTGACTGGAAATGGAGCTCCCTGCACAATCCCTTCAGCTGTTAGCTTGCACTGAGACAAGGGGCTGGGGATAGCTATTTCACCTCTTGACTGTCATGCTGAGCACCTGTCTTTGTCTTTTAGACTATAAGCTTCAGGGGGCAGGCCAAATGTCAAGTCATTGTGGCTCAAACAGATGACTGGGGAGGGGAGAAGGATAGTGAATTATGAGACAAGATGAGGCTTGTGTTGTTTGGAAGCTCTGATATTTTTAATCTTTTTTATTGCACTTTCACAACAAATTCCAGACGCATGCAAAGGCACGGGAGTGGTTTAAGACATGAGGATGTGGAGGAGTCAAAGTAATTCCAATTTCATTTCAACCACAAGGGAGCAAACCTCATTCCACTAAGGGAAAGAAAAACAAAAAAAAGTATCTTTCAGGCTCCAGAAAAACAGAAACGATGGTGATGAATGAGTAAAACTCACACTAAAATCATTACAAAAAATAACTACAAAGTCGATGGCCTTTCCTGTCAGAATAGCTACCCACAGTTAAAAACAGCTGTCAAAATTCAGCTTGGCTTCTATTTTTGTTTGTAAAAGCTTTGAGTACAGTCTCACCTCATTACTGTCTCTTCGTCTAGAGAATGAATTAACTGGCTGTTTTTAATGCACTTTAGATATTTTTTTTACCATCTGTTTATAAACAAGCTGCCATTTTTCTGTGGCACACCCACTCAGTTTAATTTTTTTTAAAAAAGTTTTAATCATACATTGATCCACAGAAACTTTCAAATGTCTATATGCCATTTTAATTATCCGAACAAGAGTAGTTCTGACTTTGGCATTTGCATTGAACCGTCTTTATTAGAGTAGAGAGGCACCACTTAATTCAAAAGACACAAAAAGCAAACTGATTGCAATTTATTACATTAGAAAGACAAATCCTTGCAAGCCAGTCAGACTAATTAATTAACAAGCATTGTAGACAGTTAAAAAGAATATACTAATCTTCAAAGGAAGAGAGATTTGGTAAAGTTACTGAAGTTCCACAATTCTTAAAACAAAAGGTGGCAACTCTAAATAATAAGAATTTGCTTTTCTAAAAAGATTTTTATTCATTTGGAGTAGGAGATCACCTACTTAACTTACCACTGAACAGCAGCCCCACCTGGGTGACACACAGCAACTACTCAGTACCATCAACCTCCCTGTACAGCAGATCAGGTGGAGAACTGATAGATTATCAGGTGGGGTGGTGCCTCTGTGGCTAAGGATCTGCGCCTCTGACTTGAAGGTTGCTGGTTTATATCCTGCGGCCAGCAGAGGAATCCTACTCCATTGGGCCCCTGATCAAGGCTCTTAACCCCAACTCCAGGGGTGCCGTACAATGGCAGACCCTGTGCTCTGACCCCAAGATTCTCTCTCCCCATCTGTGTGCCTGTGTGTCTCATGGAGAGCAAACTGAGGTACAGTATGCGAAAAGAAAAATTCCTAATACAAGAAATTGTATATTGCCAATTGTACGGTATATCAGAAGGGAACATTTTTGCAGGCCAGATTGAAGACGCAGGGAATAAAATTTAGCCAATCCATGGAGTCTACTCTCATGCTTTTGGACTCCTACTCTTATAATGAGTACTGTGAGATCTTTAATGAGCAAGTCTTCAGGATCTTGGTTTATCGTCTCATTAAATAGAAGGTATACTGTATGTCATTTTCCTGAAGGTAATGACAGAGACTAGTGAAGAAATGAAAAGATTAGGCTTAGCAAGACGTTTTAATACTGATTGGGGAATGACATGCATTTCTAAAGCTTCAAACTGCTAATCAATAATGTCAATGATATTTCTTGATCATTGCATCACATAGCATGTAGAAAACATACTTTATGAGTATTTAAAATCTATTTTAGAGAAATAGGAGGAAATGTATTTACTCCATTGCTTTGTACAGATGTTTAATGTTCACTTCAAAAATAAATTGTACAAGTGGATAGGTGTTACTTGCATTGTAACTCCATTGACCTCATCAAACATGAAATACAGTCTTCTTCCTTCTCGGCCAAAGGGTATGAAGACAGCTGTCTAAATTAACTGAGACAAGAGAGACATGGACAAGTGTGGCTCAAGCCAGCAGCTGATCTTGAACTTTGGGTAACTGAAGTGGTTCAAAGGAAGGAAATGAAACATGATTATGTATCCATATTTACCCTTCAAAAGGTATTATGGGAGGGAAACAGCAAAGTCATTACAAGGTCTATTGTTTCAAGTGCAGAAAT